CCTAAAAAGGGTTTGTCCGGGTTTTGTATTTGTGTCATTTACATAGAATTTATTACCTAAGTACAAAATACATCATCTTTATAGACAATTGAAAAATACAAAAGGTAAGGAATAATAAATCATCCCACAAGTCTCTACCCAGAGACAAATGTTATATTTTAATGTGTTTTCTGTTTGTCTTTTTTCAGAACGCAATGTTACAGTTTGAGATCTTTATGGCAGGAGAAAGGGTAGCCCATAGCACCCTTTTTGAAGCTCCTCAAACCCATTGTGACCTTCTGAGGTTTTTTTACTTATAGGATGTGGTACTTTGGGGCTCTGATAAGTGCTGGGTGACCTTTTATACCTTTTTATTATTTTTCTGTAAGGATGAAGCTTTTAACTACAGCTTAATGAGAGAGGGAGAATATGCCTCAGTCGCCACCTGAGGTGAAAAGCCACTTCTAAGGAATGCCAGGCACACATATGCTCCTATTTCAAACGCTCATGGGGACAAATCAATGGGAACAATGAGTCTTACTTAATTTGTTTGTTCTAGGTATGGCAATAAAACATTGGTAACAATGAAAGAGTAATGGCTGACTAGGTATTTTAACTGATTTGGAAGCCGAAAGTAATGGTGTATGGAATCTTGCTGGGAAAGGTTGCCCCCCCACCCCGCCTTTATTTATTTATTTTGTTTAACATCCCTTTAACTTGGTCTGAGATTGATTGAGACGTTATCTTGGGTTTTGGAAGCTGTTAGCCGTATTGGAATGACAAACATTTGATGGATGGGAAAACAAACTCTGACAAGGTTCAAATGTTTGGTTTTCTATTGAGTATTTAGAAAAAATGTTGCTGTCACTATTTAGCATAGAGAAAGAAAGAGTTCCACCTCATTATCACATCCATTATTTTCTGAGCCTGACAAACATCTACTTTTTCCTAGAGTATAATTAATCAAAGTAGGGACAAAAAGTTCACCACTTGGGCCAAGTTATATTTCTATCTGCTTTGGGTATCTGCCATTTTAGCTCAGGAAATTCAATAGTATCATAAGTGTATATTGTCTTTTAGAAGGATTTATATGCACATGCTATATCTGAGCATCATTTCTTTGGAGTAATAATCTACTAATACAAAAATGTAATATAAAGAAAAAAATATTGTAATAGGCATCTAATACATATTTATCCATTGGTATAATAGTGCCCTATATCTTAATCATGTGACTGTGAGGTGGAAAAATGATCCATTTACTACTCTATTAAATAGAACTATTAAACTGATTATGAGACTGGTTAATATAAGTTATTTATTATTTTTATATTGATTATTAACTTTCATATATTGATTTGAAAGAATATCGTAGGAATACTCTTCCTACAATAGGCAAGTTATTTTATAGGTGTCAGCTTTATTAGTGAGTTATAAATAATTTCACTGCATTTGTCTGCCTGACATCTTCCCACTTTCTTCTAGTAATAGAATTTTTCTCTCTTGTAGAAAAAATATGCTTCCGGTTTGTGTAGGGTACTATGTCACTGTATCTTTCCAACGACACCCTTCCCAGGCTCCCAGAATAGTCACCTTGTGCCCTGGCCATGATGATGTATGGAGCCATCAGGAGCTAACGCTCTGCCAGGGCTGCTGGGAGGATGAGGGTCTGGGGCCATCTGTGGCAGTTTGCCTGCTTCACGGAGAGCCTGCGTGCAGGAATACACTACACAGGTTCAAGGGACAGAACGAGCCAGGTCCTGACAGAGCACTTGATACTGAATCCAGTAATATCTAAAAGCAAGTACAGCCCTGCCCTGGCTGGTGCGGCTCAGTTGGTTGGAGCATCGTCCTGTAACCAAAAGGTGGTGGGTTCAGTTCCCAGTCAGGGCCGATACCTGCGTTGCAGGTTCAATCTCCCAGCCTCTGTCCAGGTCTGGGCACTATGATCCTCAGTTCGGATGCGTACAGGAGGCAATGCATCAATGCTTCTCTCCCACATCAATGTTTTTCTCTCTTTCTTCCTCTCTCTCTTTAAAAACAATGGGGAAAAGAATGTCCTCAGGTGAGGATAAGAAAAAAATAAAAAGGAAAAGCAGGCACTACCCTGTTGTAAGTGATAAAGCCCTATTTTAATTTGAGCTAGTTTGTGTTGATTGTTTTTGTTTTTACTGTTTGAAACCTCAAGAGCCTGAGTTATATAAAAGATCATTGGATTGCTGGAGGGCAAGAAATGTGGAGGATTATCTGAGTGATTGGAAGGAAGATGGTAAGGTAGTGAACTTGAATAAAAAAGGAAAAAAATTTAATGAAAATAATGCCAAAAGATTGATGGATTTTTATGAAGAGACAGAGAAAAATATTTTTTGAATATGTAACATAGAAAATAAGTTGTGTGCTGAAAGAAAAATCATAGTATTGACTTCTCTGCCGTACATTGCTCGGGTGTTTGAAATTTTTCGTCTTCATGTATTAGGACGTTGGAGGCGAGAGGTACAGACCCACAGAAGGTCGACTCAAAGTGGGAAGGGCGGAGGTGGAGCCATGGTCGCAACTTGTCCCAAGGAATCAGTGTTGGGTCTCCCCTCCACTTCCCTTGTGTCCTGTTCCATGGGCACAGCAACCTAGGAGGAGGAAGGGCATGTTTTCCTGGGCTTTAGTTTGTAAAATCCCTGGAAGAACTCCCATTAGCCCAGTTTGAATTAGATACCCACTTGGTAAGCCAATCACTGCTGAGGGTAAGGGGGAAGGAGAAAAGGTACCAGGCTGTGTGTCCCTTTGGCACCCGGTGAACAGAGCCTCCTAAAAGAAGGCAGGGCGAGCCCAAGCCTGGCCCCCGAACCAGAATGGTCTGAGCAGCTGTCCAGAGTGTGCGTGTTCACTACCGCGTGCCACTTTTGACAGTGTCCTATTTGGAGTAGTGAGGAAGTATTAAAAGTGGAAAGAAAAGTATATTTATATTCTAAGGGATGGTAATACTGCACTTGTATTTTATTTTCAACACCTATAAAGAGTTTTACCTCATCCTTCAGAGGTAGTTGGATCCAACAGAAATGATAACATTTTAAAAATTTACAAAGCACAGGAAAAAATGTGAATAGACTGAAGCAAACTATACATTCTAAAGTGTTGAAATGTCTCATCTAAATGTACTGTGCTTTTGCTTTGGAAATGTGGTTTAAATATCTAAACCAAAGCAGTAAACCTAACTGAAAGGCATTATAGAAAATACACGAAAAGCAGAATAAAGTAGCATGATGAGCTCTGATCCCTCGGTGCTGGGAAGAATTGCCGAGCCCTCCTGAAATGCGTGGTGTAAATCCTGGTCAGCCTTGTTCTCCCCAGACGTTGCTTGTCCTGATAAATGTGCGCATTCATGGGAGTCAGAGGCCGCTGCCGAGGCACCCTGGAGTTCAGCTGACACGTTCTAGACCTCGAGTCTCATCTTTGGGTGGCTGATTTGCCAGAAATGTAGAAAGCAAGTATATGTTTTCATCCAGATGAAATAATTCATTCGAATTCCTGAAGTAAGAGTGTGCATATACACACATACTTAATACATCCAGACTTGAGAACTTCCAAGATAGTGACTTGTACAGAGTGCCTGCCCTTGCCAGCGCTTAAATAATGTTCCCTGCAATCGGAATCCTCATCAGCGCTGTGAAATCAAGTTAATTGCCATGAAGGAAAGATTATTTCAAATACCTATAAAATGTGTTTGAATTTGGGGGGAGGGAAGGAATGTAAACAGGCAGAACATTTAATTGCATGTAACTTGAACTATTCAATAAAGAATATAGATTCTTATAGGCAAAGAATTTTTTAACTTTTAAATTGTGTATTTTAAATGATATGTATTTTTTGCCCTGGTGGTTTATTTAAAAAGTTACTTATTGAGTGCCTATTTGCACCTCTGTCTTTAACATTAAGAATATAAATTCAGGTATCTCAGGAAGCCTGCCATTTAGATCATAAGATAAGATGAATGTGTTGAAAACTTAAATACTTTTTAATAGAGGCACTATTGAAAGTAATAGAGAAGAAGCCAGTATCTGTTAAGGCTTGATCAGAAGGTCAGAACCGCTGTGAGTGGTTTGTGGGATTAGTGTAGGGCTGGGCCCGCTGTGATCCTGGGGGGTTAGCGCTCTCTCTAATATTCATGAACCCGTACCTGATGCTGGTCTGGTGTAAGCAGAGCCATCAGTCAGAAAAGTCACAGGAAGTGAGAGTGGCCTGGCATCTGCAAGGATGAGCTGAATCTCAGGAGAACAGATTGGAACTGCCTGTGTCCTGTGCTTCCCAGCTCGCAGCTTGGACGATGCAGGCGACCTACAGAACAGCTGGTGTCCTTCATCAGGGAGCGGCATGTAGACTCGGCCGCAGACTATGAGAAGCGGACGGAATCTACAGCTGCTCCAAGCCAGCAAGGTGAACCAGCAGATCCACAGTTGTGTGTGCGCTGCACTAGCGCCTGACCTTACAGCAGCTCTCCACGTGCACGCCTGGCGGCTGCTGCCTTTCCGCCTCCTCGGGCAGGCACCTCCTGTGGCTCTCCCTTACCTGCAGCAGCTGCACGGCAAGGGGAATCCCGGGCAGGCTAGCTCCAGGTTTGCGGAGCTGACGACCGTGGCCATCGGGGCTCGCCGTGCAGGCTTGGCACTCAGACACAGCTTCCGGTCATTTAACTTCCAGAAAAAGCAATAGCAAAGCCGTGTTTATGTCAAATTAGGTGAAACTATCCCTCTTACAACCTGAAACCGTGGCTTTGGAGAATGCAGGTGTATATTTAACAAGTGGTTTTCAAAGCAGATAAAGGAGGAACGATGTGTGTTCCTGACAATTAATGTGTATACTTTTAAAAATGTGTCTCTCCCAGGAACTTTGCCTCCAAAGAGTGCCAAGAGCGTTAACTTGTACTATCAAAATTAAACTCACATTTACTGTGGATAAATATGTAGACCTAAAGCAGAAGAATTGTTTTACTTTATATTTAATGTTTTCTTTTTTCAACTTCTTTGCAGTTTTTTGAGGTGCCATTTGATTCAAACATGAATAGGACAAAGAACAGACCTCTGGTTCGTGGACAGATCAGGTAAAATTATAAATATAAGTCTCACATTACAGAACATTCATTTGCTTGTTTATCCTAAATCATTTTCCAGTCTTTTACCTTGAGTTGTGAATTTAAAATAACGCACCCCTAAAGGGACATACTGGTGTGAAAACACAGTACTTTTCCACTCTAACCAAAATGTACTACAGAGCTCTGAAAATGGAGCTAAGATTTGCAGTTTTGTTGTGGGAGTAACTCAGGCAATAGATTTCTTACTCCGTTCCATTCTGAGACATGGCCTGGTTTCACTTGTAGCAGTAAAGTCATTCCATTCACACAAATGATTTCTGAAAAATCCATATCAGGTCACAGAAGAAAGTTACATCTGAAGCCTTATTTTTTCAGATAAACTGATAATGCTGTTATATGCCAAGTACCTGGTAAATTACTGCCTCCATTACTCTCCGTTTCACTAAATTCAATTAAGTAGAACTGAAAGGCATATAAATATTTTAATATCACTAATGGTTAATAATTAAACATTTTATTTCCTAGAGACCTCAAAACTGGCATTTAAATTATTTTTTAATCCAATAGGTTGTGATAAGCCAAGAGGAATAGAAAGAGCCAAGTGGTTTTTTTCAAATCAGTGAGGCCTCCCTTCATATTTCCAGGAAATGCCTCCATGGAGCCTCAGATTTATTGGGGTAACGCTTGCGGATCAAATAATCACACATATTAATAAAACAATAAAGGAAACAAATGCAGATATAGTCAATAAGTCTATATAAAATGATTTTTAATATTGTTTTTAGCCATTCAATTCTTAAATGACTTGAAAATACCATTTTATTGAAAGCAATAAAGCCAGATAAAAGTATACAAGAACAGAAATCTCACCTACTTATATTTTATTTCCTTTTTTGAAATATAAATAATGCTTCCTGCCATGTTTATGTTTAGAAAATGTCAGAGTATTTTTGAGACAAGTCGTGTTAGAAGGGATAACGCAAACCCCGTAACCCATGTTGAAAGCTACAAGTGGGTCTTGCTACTGGTTAAATCACAGGTAGGTTTGTAACTTACTGAAAACTCTGTTCAGTAGTTTTCCTCAGTGAAATTGTTCTCTTCTTTAGAACCAAAGGATATATGGGGATGTAGACCTAGCAAGTAGGCTTTAGGCACATCAGATAAAAACCAGTCATTCTACTAGAAGCTCATCCGACTTTGCCCAGTACGGTCACTTCCTACACTCGGGACAGCAAGTCTGTCAGCCTTTCCAGGACAGAACCCTGGTGGGCGGTGTCCACAGTGCCCGTCTTTTCAAAGAGAGAGGTCACAGTACAGTTATTAGGCTTTAACTTCTCCTTCTGTTTGCGAGATGACCCTGGCAGAATCTCCTTCATGATAACCTTAATTGCTATCTTAGAGAGCAACTTTGTTGAAAAACAAAGATTCAAACTTACTTTTATACCTAGCATCTATTTTATTAAATAGATACAAGAGATTTTAAGAGCCTGGGGGAGAAATCTTGCACTGAGAAGTATAAATTTAAAACTGAAGACTGTATATCTTTTCATTCAGTGTTTGCTATAATACAGTAAATTATTATCTGCTACACAAATATCTGATGAGTGGGTGTCTGTAGGAGTGTAGTAGGAAGTCTTGTATCTACCAACATTTATGTCTCAGCTTTGGGGGTTCTCACATTCATAATGGCTCTTGGGCATTTGTGTAAAAAGTATAGCCAGTTTATTTTGAATTTCTCATTCTGGTATTCTGTACCCCGTTTGCCTTGGGCTGGTAGGCCTCGTTGAGTTTGTATAACTTCATAGACAGTGTTAACAGCTTGGCACGGAAGGGCCGAGGCCCTGTCCCTGCTGACGGCCAGTAGTGGGATGGCAGGTCCAGGAAAGGACACCTCGGAGGTGCTGCCGTCGACGGCTGCATCGGCCTGTGTGCGTAGCTCGGTTTCTATCCCTTCTAAAGGGGTTCTATGAGCTTTCATGGAGAAAATACGTTTCGTTGACTCGTTCAAGTAATTGCAGTTTACTTTGAAATGTGTTATTTAAGGAACATATGCCTGGACTAGTCGTGTGATTTCTTGAGGACCTGGGGAAATCCCCTCAAGGAGCCCTTTACTCACGTGCACCTGCCGGGGCACATCTGCTCCGTGTTCTTAGTCCTGTCTCCTAGAAAAACGTGGCCGGCGGGCAGACACGGAACGCCTTACAGCGCTAACACAGAACACAGTGCTTTCTGTTTGCCCGTTGACTTTATCCTTTACCCCTGAAAGGAGGAGCCGCACCGTGACACTGTCAGAGCTCAGTCGGGAAGCAGGTAGTGGAAGGCAGGGTTACGGACAGTGGGATTTGGGATAAACGATGAGATCACAAGGGAAGCCTGTCAAAGTCACACGGCAAGACTGAACTGTGAAGTTCAGTTTACACTTCCTGCTGGCATCAGCTACGTACACCGCAATGACGGTCATGAGACAGGCGGCTCTTAAGTTTCCCTCAGTGTTCAGGTGAGAAAGCTGCGGATCCGAGTGCTATGCAAAACTGGCTGAACCAAAAAATCGGCCATGTGACGCCACACCCTGAGTTCCTATTGACAACATGTAACTGTCTCTGAAAATGTCTCGTCTGTGAGAAGAAAAGCACCACTCAAGGGAAGCCAGACTTCTGCCTCTTCTTAAAAATGAGAAGGGACACAAGGGACACTTGGTGATGATATTAGGAGAATGTCCTCCTGACTTCTGTAGAGGAAAGAAATGGGTTTGTAAGGCATCATGGTGCAAGCCAGAGACAAAATGTCAAAGAGCAAACAGCTCCCAGTGAGAACCAGTTAGACGTATGGCCTTGAAGCAGTTGGGGGACAGGAGGCTCTTGGCCAAACCGAGCAGCCCAGGGATGCATCTTCCCAGTTCAGCTTGTTCTGAGGGTCAGACCGAGACAGTGAGAGAAAGGGGAGAGACGGCGCCTGTGCTCCGTGCATATCGGGACGGCTGGACTCGAAGAGGTGATGCGGGAAAGTGCTCCGCCACGTGGTCTGATTGCACAGGGCGCGCAAGGTCGAGTGGTTGTTGATGCGCATTTGCCCAGGATGGTCCTGCTTTCTACCTGCCATGTCAGCAGAATCCCTAGTCACGTCCCCTCTCAGTCTCAACAACGTCCAGTTTGGGTGATAATGATATGCCATCTGATGGTGATGACTGTGATCACAGAATTTCCTTATTGGAAGCCCATTTCATCCAAATTCCAGCTGCTTCTTTTGCGCAAGGGAGGAAGAAACACATAAATGGAATGTATGATGTATCCTTTCTTTGTAGGTAGATACTGTGATGCGGACATCCTTACATTGCTTTTTAAAAGTGACACTCAGTATCTTCACATTTTCTTATAAATTGGAACAGATGCGTAAGGTCAACGGACTTGTTTGGATATTTCTGGCAAAAATGCCATGGCTCTGAATGGTTGTTTTGAGGAAAGTTGGGCCTTTATTCTTTGAAAGAACGCACCTAAAAGTTCTTATGTCACACACAGGAACTCACACACAAGGCGCATAAACCCACGTGAGTCAAATTCCTGTAATGTGACAAAGGCAAATATTAGAAAAGCTCCCCTTCTTATCAGACAGTCAGATTTGGTATAACCTAATATTAACTTAGTGACTGGATCGAGTTAATTAGCAATTTTCAAAAATATGTGTAATAGGAAACAGGGCAGTCTTCAGATATTCTTCATATGGTCATGGAAAATGCTATCTGACTGTTCATGGACAAGTCATTGAATGAATCTTTCCACATCACAACTTTCTCATGCGTTAGGGGTTCATAATCTCAACCCTGTTCACCTCATGCATAACATCGTTGTGGGGATCGCAGTAAGATCAATAAAAATCATATAAAGAAAAGTTCATTTCTGGGGAATGGGTTTAAAACTCTAGAGAAATGTAGAGTTGTTTGCAGAACTTTTATCTGTTTTCAAAATTTGCTTTAAAGGAAATATTTCAGTGTTTATCAGATAATTCAGAATAGTTTCAAGGGAGAAGGGGAAAAAAGCAAAACACTTGGCAAATTAGAGAACACAGAAAGTAAAAATTACATGTTTTCATTTTCACACTGAAGTCGGCACAAGCGCTCCGTGGAGAGTAGGCAGTTGCTGAATCCCTCACCCACAGTGTCATCATCAGGACATGTCTGTGGAAGGACCTTGTCCCCCAGAGCAGCGTGTCATTGCTAAGCTCTCAAAGAGGGACGTGACGCGGTCTGCACCCTCTTAGAGCTATGCTGAAGAGAGATGGCCACACGCGTGCACGAGGACACTCCGTGGAGCAAAGGCACAGCTCACTCAACAAGTGTATATTTTAAATACACTGCCAGCCCCGCCCGGTGCCAGTACCAGCGGTGCGGTGGGGAATACTAAACCAGGGGCAAGCCTGAGCAGCGTGGGGGTCCGAAGAGAACTTAACCCAGCCCGGGGTCAAGGGTGATATAGAGGGAACGCAGTCTTGAAGGCAGAAACTAAAGATTGAAGAAGGACTGAGCCCCTCTGGCTGTTCCGTGCCAGGCTTTTCTTTCTGCTCCTCCTCCTCTTCTGGCCCTTTGCTGGCGGTGGTCAGCCCCCTCCTCCTCTCCCTTGCTCCCTGCATCCACCACAGCCATCGCTGCAGCCCACCGCACTCTTCTCAGCTTGGCCTTTTGGACACCTCTTTGGGGGCGCCCGGCGGGCATCTCAGATTCCATAACATCTATCCCAATCCGTCATTTTCGCTCCCAAACCGTCGTTTTCATTTTGTACTTGTTAATTTACATTCCAGAGTCAGCACCTGCGAGTCATTCGAGGCTTGCTTTCTCTTTTGTCCCCTTCCCTGGTGATCCAGCAGGCCGCGTCCTCCAGTGCCCTAAGCTCCCCGCAGCGCCTGCCCTGCCCCCGCCGCCCTAGTGCCGGACTGCTGCTGGTCGCTTTGCTGCTCTCCCCTCTGCTGCCTCTTGGACCCTTTCCATTTCCGTCCCACTCAGCCACCAGGTAGGTTTT